GCATGGTGTGGTGGTGAACGCGTTACTCCCCGGAAAGGATAATAGCGCGTTCGTTCCCCACCATAGACACCTGCGGTCCAGAGTTTTGCAAATATCTCAGCAACGTTGTGGTTGTATCCCAACGATGCTGCTGGTGGAGTTGAAGGCATGAATCATGCCTAAGGAATTGACCTACGCCGAACTCTTTACCCTTCCATGCTTTGTACCTTCTCCAAGCGAGGGCCATCCAACACGGGAACATGGCGCTCTAATGTGGCGTGGATAGTTAGCGAAAAAACAGTGATCACGCACTTTTCCCGATAAACAAGTGTGTTTGACAGGGATTCAAGTGATGGGTTCCAGTCTATGCTGTCACGAGTTGACGTATATGCTCTATCTTCTTATGGTTATGCTTTTATGCATTAGGTTTGTGACCACTTACAACGAATAGGGCAGTGAACGCTTAGTGGCTCACCACTTCCCCTCCCCTCTCCTCCTACCCCCATCAAAACAAAAAACCTTCCTTCAACAAGCTCTCGCTGTAAAATGTAGCGTACTTCTCTACATTTGTCGTTTAAGGGATGTTTCTTGGCTCGAAAACTTACTACAGAGACAACGAGTTTTCCATTGTTGGCGTGCGTTGCAAAGGACATCTGCGGTTCCTCACTGCCCTTCCAGAATGCGTCACTTCCTTTCATTAACGCAGTGACGCGTTCATCACTAAACTACTTACATTAATGTTAAGTTTCTTATTTAAGTCCTAACATTATTTGTCACGGCAGGGTATGACGTCAAAGAGAACTACTATAAGGCTCAGATATTTGCAATACTTAGACCACAGCACAGATCCAACGGCGATTACACTTTCCAGGAGCTCACGTGTTACACACGGCACCACTGAAGAGCCTGTTTTGTCAATATCTCAGCCTCATAGTTGCTGCACTTATGTTAACAAATACCAGTAAAGAATTAATTCGGTAATGGAATGTAACGCTGTTTTTACCTCGTAGCGAATCCTATGGTGTTGGATCCAGCCCACCATGATGCTGAGCAGAAAAAAAATAGAACGAAAAACAAGCCAGTTATTGCGAGGTCCTAGGATATAGATATGACTAAAGCTGGGTAAACCAAAAGAAATAGTACAGGTAAGCTTTTACGTATACTTATTGGCACCATTAACACATTTTCTTGATTATGAGAGAAACCGAACTGAATTGTACAAAACTAAAGTAAACAAGTAATCTATTGATTGGAGTAGTAAATAAATGGAAAACTTAAATACAGAGTTTGTTAATGGGAAACGGAACACCTATAGGGAAGTTGGTGGCAGATGAGAGAACAAGTAACACCCACCGCAAGTGCTACTCTTTTCTCCTCTTCGTAAAGCGGCCAGAATACCACGTAGACGAAAGTGATCATCAGAACGTAAACCAAACCGGCAACGTTCACGAAATAGAAGAATCCTGCACTTCTGAAAATCCACAGTCCAAGAAGAAAAACGAAATTATCAAGAACGTGGCAAAACACAACAGTTAGAGGTGCCCTGCGGTAAACACGTGGTCGCTGATTCGATCCTATACACAGGTGTAAATCAGCCCCAGCTTACTACGAGGTCGACAAATTGGTATTGAACTTGCCTGGCAAAAATCAAAAATGTTGGTTTCAAGGATCGATAACCCCCGCAAGCATAAACCGAATATGAGTTTAGACAAATCTAGGATGTTAACAACAGATTGATCAGCACTGAACGCTTTCTGTGTTATGTTTTATTTTCATTACAGTTATTTACACCATCAACAATACCTTTCTAGCCTTGTAGTAGTCGACATGATCGTTGTGTCAAATTGAGGTGCTTACTTTTTTCTGATCCCAACACTTCTGGTTTTTTATTGACTTTTCTTTGCATCCGTTATCCACGAAGGTCTTCATATTTTGCGTGTGGGTTCCACTGCTGTTAGAAGATCTTTAATCTACTTTACGAACGTCGTTGAATGCTGGTCTAATAGCCTCATTGAAATCGAGGGATAGTCACCTTAGGGCGTTACCATATCCCCATCAGAAGGAGTTGCCAGTTCTTATGGATGGCAGGGAGACGGTTGGTAGTAGGCAGGTCGGTGTTCAAGTAGATATCATTGTTAGTGGATTTTTCGCTCTTAAAGTAGTAGCGGAGAAAGGTTTCGGAACTTTTAAGCATAAAAAGCTGCTCTTGACCTCGTTCACCCTCATCATGGTCATCCTTTCTTCCCTTCCACACAAAAAATCGATGGAATTGTAAACGTGGAAATAGACGCTCTCTACAATCATTTGCAGAAAGAAGACGAACAATAACTTAGTGGGATGCTTTCAGGCTTTCAGAAAAGTCCACTACAAATTTACTGAACGCTGACGAGTGGAACGATTATTTACTTAAACAGAAGGATAAAAGGGTAAAACGCTCGACCTTCATAATTTTAAAAGAGATCCGCCATGAATTCGACTTCATCAAACATCGTAGAGGTGAGTGAACTAGCGTATACATTGACTTGCAGTGCCCACCAATGTATCAGATCGGTGTTTTTTAATCCTTACAAACAAGTCCAATGCCAATTTGTATACCCTGAAGAAATGAGTAGGCTTGGTTAACTAAGGACAAAAGGTGGAACCAACGACCGTATTTGCATTTGAGGACCCCTAATCACTAAACACTACGTTGATTTTGTTAAATTGTTACAATAAATAGACGTGCCATCACTCACTGACCCTCCAACACTGTCATCAGATGTCCAGAGCGGTGACATGGTACCTTTGCAGTCTTCTATGGCAACGCTGCTAAGGCTAAAAACCACCAACAATAAAAATCCGTTCTAAAGGAAAGTGAGACAAAAAAAGTGGAAGTGAAAAGGCAGCAAAATTCAGGATCTTCAATTTTTCCTCTCCGACGCTTTAGTAGTAATTTTTCTTTCGTATGCTGCACTGCTATAAACCGATGCAAAGCTTTTTCTACGCATTTTCGCTCTATTAGCTGAATTACAGTATAAAGCCTATTTTTGACAAATTTCATAAGTTAAAAGCAGCTTAATTTCGTCGTGTCGAATTCAACAGTGAAAATTAGAGAGCCGCAGACGTCCTTCTTCTAACGACGACAATGAATTGAGGGTTTTTCGGAAGCAAACGGACACACTTCCCTGTTGTAAAAGATCTTGGAGTAAACATGCTGAGTGCTTTGGAGCACCAAAAGGTGCCCTACGAACTGCCCTTGTTTAAGCCGGCGCTGGGTTAATATCTTTTTTTTAAAAATACAATGGCTGACTTTCGGTGAGTTCGCTTCCCTCGTCTTCCTAATTCCTTCAACTTCTTTCGTTCATTGTTATCTAAAAGATAACAAAAATTTTGAAAAATCTCGACAAAAGGCTGCCGCAAGAGATGATTGACATTGAGAAAGGTTTGGGATGTCATCAGCGCTTTTTTTCTGCAACTAGAACGGCCATATTCTTGACCGCACTGTAATATTCGATAAGAATTAGATTATCTGTGATAGCCGAAACGATCGGGTCGACAAATGGACAACGATGAAGTCCCGCAGAAATTCCCGAAGTCGAAGCCACACCAATAGGTCTTCCTCATCGTCTGATGGTTTGACGCCACTTTAACCTAATATAGCTTCTTTAATCTCGGTGAGAGGATTAGGGTAAAAGTGTAAAACTAGAAATCGACTATATGTATTCGAAACTTTAACGTGTACTCCTTGCACTGGTCAGCAGAAATGGATAAATGCTATACCACGATAAAGCTTATCACGCGTCTAACAATTGACGCAGCAAAAGTTAAGGAAGCTGGGTTACGAAACACTGCTTCCTCCTCTGTTCCCCAGACATCTCGCTTTCCGATTACCACTTCTTCATTAAACTCGATAAGATCTTGTGCGAGGGATTTGTCAAAAACCAAGGCCAGAGCGAAACTCCTTCCGAAACTTCAAAGTTTTATGCAACCGAAATGAATAAACTTCTTTCTCTTTAGCAGAAAATCTCTGAATTCCAAAAGCCTCTATTCTGAATAATAAAGCTAATACTGAGCTGAGATATCTCGCTCCTTTAAATCCCAAAATCCACTCTTAGCATTCACATTTTAAAACGATCTTCGAGACGTATCATACATATCCTGGTGATATAATAAAATCACCTGAACGTAGAAACCGCAGCTTTATGAGTGGTGTTTTTTGGACAGTTATAGTTCAGTGTCAAACTCCAACTGTTTACGGCAGCAATCGCTATAACGATGAACACCTGGAATAATAAACAAAGATATTAAATTGTTCTGAGCATGGTAGGAATGAAATCAGTACTAAGCATCACTGTCAAAACACATCGTAGAAAAGCAATGAGTAATCAAGAATCACTTCCATTCAAGACCCAAGTTTATTTCAGCACCTATAACTCCGTCGATCGTGAGGTAACTCAATCGAGCACTACTAACGAAGCGTCCATTTGTTCTTGTCATTTACCTACTTACGAGTGGACTCACTGGTCATAGGATTTTCACAGATTTTCACTGTGATGCACATTTTCTATTCCATATGGTGAGAAGATAGGTATATAGGTAGCTCGAGAAGATAGGTATATAAGTGGGTCGCTAGGTTATACCGATGCGCGACTTTCCTCTTTGGTGAGGCTTGGGTGAAAATTTTGATCTTTTCCTCAGTCCTTCAATGCCGTTGCTAAGAAAAAGAACCTTCCGCTAAAGCTCTACGTCCAGAAACACAAGAAACTCCTTCACCAACGATGATGAAGTAAACCATTGCTAGGGAAATGGTGGTTGTGAACCAACAGTGTCCCATGGTTTTCCTTAAAGGAATGGGACGTTGATTTCTTACTCACATTAGAAGGACGATTAATGAAAGGCAGGTTAAGCACTCTAAATCAAATTACCACGTTTATATTACTTGCACAAGAGTTGTTTACATATTCCTTTTTCATCCAGCTTCGGACAGTGGATGGGACTCAACTACAAACAACTGTAATAAGTGTAGTAATTTCCTAAAATCTTCAAGCATGTATCTAGACTAATCGATACTACAAAAGTAGTCGATGAAATTTTTCAAAAGTTTCAGATTTCCCCAGTTTTTTTCATGATTGGTAGCTACATCAAACAAAACATAACACGGATCTCGTAGCATTGTTGAGTATGAAATCGGAACCAGCAGCATCTATTGAATGCTTGTATGAATCAGGTTTGTGGGAACTGCCTTTGATAAAATTTTTCGCTTGACGTTTATTTCCATTTTAGGAAAAGATAACCATGAAATATTGATCTACGTGCGGACCCAAATATCGACGAGATAACAAAGGTTAACTTTTATTTACTGGCTATCATTTCTTTCACGGCAGGGTATCATGTGAAATACAACCACAAAGATGCCGGGATATTTGCAGAACTCGGAGCGCTGGGCAATTCGAACCCGCAACTACCCTTTGTGGGGGCACAAATGTTAGCCACTGCATCACTGAGGCCTTGCTTTGTCTTCTCTCAGTCAGTTTTTTTTAACCTAACAGTGATATCAGCAATCACTCATCCATGAGAGTGGTCTGGAGAGCACATTAAATCGGCAATGAATCCAGTTAAACTGGGGCTGTATTTGAATTTACAATGTTTAACTTTTCTTTACTGACTATAACTTCTTCGCGGCATGGTATTATGTGAGATACAACGACCAACTGGCTAATAACAAATCAAGGGCATTAGTGGTGGAGTAGATAATGGAGTAACTACCGCAAATATAAGATGTTTTTCCTGTTTTAACTTAAGGAATAACAAAAACAAAACCCTCTGTTGAGAAAAATCTGTTTCTAATGATTCCACCATGAACATTATTCAGTGTGGGGGTTTGGAGTGAGTAGAAACAACTCAGAATTCCAGTGCTTTTAATAAATGAAGAATATTATTATTTTGCTTTACTTTAAACGACCGATCTTCACATCTACTGTGCGGATCCCATCACATCTTGCATTTAATTCATTCCCTCCTATCCATCACCCACAAAGGTCTCTGAACTTTTCGCGTCTAGGTTCGACAACTATCTGAGAATTTTCTTCGTTATGAATGTCGTTGAATGTTGGTTCGATTCTCCCTGGAATCCTTGGTTAACTGGCCTAGAGCGTTTCCTCTCGGAATGCAGAGAGTTAACGGTTTCCCGAAAAGTCTAGCACTAATTTTCCGACCCAGGAAAGATGCGATGGCTGGTGAGCCCGAGGTCAAGCCAAGCTAGAACCGTGATCGTGATGAATGGCATCGTTACAATAGCGCTACCCGCTCCCACTCCATAAGAATAACATAAGGGAAAGGATAAGCGCCGATTTTTATTCCTTAGCAAGCCTTGCATCAAAATTCAAGCATTGTGTAAATGCACAGATTTGTTTTATATTACAGAAACGCAAATGTGTTTCGTTCTGGGGGCGTGGTCCAAAAAAAGAAGATTATGA